GGGGTGACGTGGTACAACAATGGTCGGCCTGTCGAAGAAAGCGACAAGTACCGCCTGAGAGACGAGGGTGGAGGGCGCTTCTCCCTGCACGTCATTCCTCTCGAGCTTGGTGACGATGGCGAGTGGAAGGCCGTCGTCAGAGGCGAGGGAGGATATGCTTCGTCAGCGTGCCAGCTGACGCTCACGGGTAAAATACTTCGGTGTTCCCCGCTACAAGGCACCATGACTTAAATTGCCCCCTCGAAGTTCGAGTGTAATCAGTCGGGCAAGAAAATAGTACAGAAAGTATTGTTTTTAGTGGGTTTCCTGGATATTTGAAACCTACAAACATTAGAAAATCTAATGTTCAAAGGATTCCTATGAACATTAGAGTTTATCAATCTTTCAGTTTTATCGTATTGATTTTTCTTTAAGCCCCATAACAAGGGAGACTTCTAAGATGGTCCACACAAATTAATGCAAACCTCGTTGGGAGTATCTGCATTTAACATGCCTATTTGATCGGATTACTAAGATCTCTTCGATCCTTCCCCTCTAACGGACAAGGTTGATAACCTGGCTACATCAATAGTCTCCTTAATTAGGAAAGGAGACATGGGCCTTAACTTTTCATGCTACATACAGATATCATTAAAGAAACATCTGATCCAAAGCCTTTTTGCCGCTGGACTGTTTGGCAATAGAAAGAATAATTATCCTCTAAACTTTTGATAATTATTAACAGCTTATATCATATATTTTCATGATCTCATCAGTTCCTCGGAACTACCGCGTGCCGAGATTCCTTGAGGCCCTGCGGGCGCTGCTGACGGAGGAGGGGCTCGTGTCCTTTGAGTGCAAAGTGGTGGGATTCCCAACACCTCTCCTGAAGTGGTATAAGGATGGGCAGGAGCTCAAGCCCGGTGACGTTTACCAGCTCTCTGGTACCAATTCTCTGGGTAGGTACTGGTATATCTGGTATTATTACTCGTCTGATAATCCGCCGTTCCTTTTCTCTATGTGAGTGATGTGAGTATTCTAAATATAATTTGGGAATTACTCATTCCAAGACTACTTAGTTCAAATATTAAAGAGAGATCTTCTACTTGTAAGGCGAGTACTTTTTCACTCAACGCTGTTAATGCTATCCTCTCTGTGGAAGCATCATCCATAATTGTCATCCGTTTTCTGGATGCCGGGTCCCACAATTAGTAATAGTTAAAAGGTAAAATGTTCAACTTGCTGGGGTGTTTTTTCAGCCTGATTCAGTCTTGAAGCGATCCATCATCTTCCGACGTTCACTTCAGGTACGTTGGTTAATAGATAAAACATTTGGGATTACGTTATTTATCGTAAAGTATATTTTTAGTTGTAATAGTGTTCAGGGTGCAATGGTGTTTACGACAATTTTGCCTCGATTTTATCTATTATTTGTTTACAAAGATCATATTTAGTAAATTAGTCTATCTTATTGGATACGTACGTGGCTAGATGAGTAATAAATTTTATCATCATATCATCATAAGTTATATACATTACTAGCCAGTAAGAAATGCAGACTGAGTAACAGTATTACCCACAGTGAGGCAATAATATTTTGGAAACCCTATTAATTGTTACAGGCAAGTACTCGTGCGTTGCAAAGAACTGCATGGGCGAAGCGAGCTCGAGTGCAGAACTGACTCTGGAGGATATCAAGTCTCATCTCAACGAGGACGAGAAGGAGCATTTGCTGGCCACCAACGTGCCGCCGCGCTTCATCCATGGACTCCTCAGCCTCGATGGCAAGATCGGGCAACCGCTTAAGCTCTCGGTCCAAGGTACATCCGCCAAGGACTTAGGGTAGATCCTCAGCCTCGATGGCAAGATCGGGCAACCGCTTAAGCTCTCGGTCCAAGGTACATCCGCCAAGGACTTAGGGTAGATCCTCAGCCTTGATGGCAAGATCGGGCAACCGCTTAAGCTCTCGGTCCAAGGTATGCCGACGTGGGAGACATTATAATTACGAGCGGGTTAATTAGGGAAATGATGCCATGCATGCTGCCGTTCAAATGGAATAATAAGGAAAGGTACTGCAATACCATATGGAAATGATTGTATAGAGATTAATTATGAACGTAAACATAAAATATGTATACCATAATAACCAAAAGCCGATGGGTTGGCTACCAAAAACATATGGCCCTGAGTTTGGATTTGTGCGGTTCAATCAAAATGAATTGTAAGTAAAAAAACTTGTGGAATTAGTTATGTTATTGCAGGCTAGAAAGTATTAAAGCAGGATTTAATATCGAGGCCAGGGAGGGGATCAATGTAAGTTTTAGAGCTACATGAGCAACGGATTATGTTGCGATAGGGTTTCTTATAATTGGAACTAAAGTGACTCTATAAAACGATTCTCCAAGTTCCACCAACTGACTAACTAGACCGTAATAAACGAGAATGAAGGATCGTATTAAAATGTTGGTCTGCCATAATTTCCTTACGCAGAAACCGAGGTTATAATTTAAGGTTACAAAGGTTTAAATCAAAGGTTAACTGAATATGTCTTTTCGAATTGAATTTTCTCACAGTAAATGAGTTTGGACGACTAGCTCAAAGAACTCTCGTTACAATTCTGTGCAGTAACAACCACAACAGCGCCTTCGTCGGTGACGTGGTATCACGAAGACGTGGAGGTGCCTGATGGACCAAGATTCACAACCGCCGCTGAAGGCACCGGCAAATTTAGCCTTCAGATCCAGAATCTTGACTTCAGTGATCAGGTACGTCAAGTTATAGTTTATCAGATCAGTAGCAGTTTTGCAATGCTATATTTTTGTTAAGAAATTAATATTTCCGCCCATGGCGTGGCTGAGATGCATTTGGTTAGTTAAGTTAATATTTAAATTACCATTTATCATGATTTGAAATCTTTCAGCGAGAGCACGTTTCTGTTTATAAGATGTTTATTACTCGGTAACAAATTGTACTTACCAACTTAGCTCGATTCACACTGTCGTGAGCATATAGTGGTAAACAAAGGATGACTAAAAACGATAGATGAAAACTTTATTAAACAAACGGCAAATACAAATAAAGTCAAGAATATAACCGTGTGTTCTCTATGCTCTTGTTCTAACTTCGGCTTACAGATTCGGAGCATTTCTAAAATTAACAAATGAACAAGAATTTAGAACTAGCTATAATTGAACAACGTAAGCAGAATACAATGCGAACAAGATAAATAAATAATGGACTGATAATCATAATCACGAACCCCTGTAAATCCCATCACTGAATTGAAACCGAAAATTATCACAAAATTAAACTGATCAAATGATAAAGTAACGCGCACCGCCGTGGTGGATCATATAGCAATGAATAAGTGCAGAGCACATCTGAACGAGGTCAAGTCCGAGGTGACTTGAAAGCAAAAATCAGAAAATGGAACTGGAATTTAACACTATTGCACTGCGTCCCCTTACAACACAAACCCCTATCATGCTTAAACATCATTTTGAAATTCCAGGGCTTCAGTTAAACTGATAAACCTTGCTAAAATAAATGCGTTATGTTATATGCCTTCATCGTTTTCGTTGGGGGGGGGGTACGTTGAGGGCAACTACCAAATAATGCATAATCGCCCCCAGGGTGAGGGGGCAGAGGGCAACTGCCCTCAAATGCATCATAACCCTCCCCCACGCCAGAGTGAGTGGGTTGAGGTAAACTGCCAAATAATTTATTATCACCTGTGCAAAGGTCAGGCAAACTGTCCAATGGCAAAGGACAACTGTCCAATATTTTATCATCCCCCACCCAGGGTGAGTGGGTAAAGAGCAACTGCCCAATACATGTATATTATCATCCTACTCAGCGTAAGCGAGCAAAGGGTAACTGCCCGTATATCATCATCCACCTCAGGGTGAATCGGTAAAGGGCCTCTTCCATATACTATATAATCCCCCACCCAGGGTGAGTGAGCAAAGGACAACTGCCCAATATATTATCATCCCCCTCCCAGGGTGAGTGGAAGTGCATGGCGGTTAACGAGTTTGGACACAGCGTGACCGGCGCCTCGGTGCAGGTGGTGGTGCCCCGCCACTACAAGAAGCCTGTCTTCCTCGAGCCTCTGCGTGCGCTGCTCTCCAAGGAGGGCACCGTCAATCTCGAGTGCAAGGCAAGTGCAATTTTGTCAGAAGAGGCTTTTTTATTTAATAATTAATACATTACTTTATTTGAGGTTCTCATTGAGTTTGTATCGTAATGAGCTTATTTAATTTTTCATGTTCATGAGTCGCCAAAGTTTATGCTCAACCGAAAACCACGCTTACTAACATCAGAAGCGTTGAGATAAGCAAGAAAGCGGTTACAATTCTGACACCTGTGCTCCTAACTAGCAGGGAGCAGCTGAACAACTTACTCATTGCACGATAATTCTATTCGCTTTTCATGCCCATCGTTACGTGCATGGACCAATCAGTCGTATGAGACCAATGTTAGCTAAGCGTCAAGCGTCTTAAATTGTAATGCGTATCTTTCATTGCAGCTATCAGGAAATACAGCTATCATCCTATAATTATTGTTTACATACCAGAAACCCTGTGGTTGCAGGTGATAGGCGTGCCTCAGCCAAGCCTGAAGTGGTACAAGGACGGCGTGGAGCTGCAGCCCGGCGACATCCACCGCATCATCAGCGGTGAGAACGGCACGTGCTGCCTCGGCACGTATACGTGCGAGGCCTCCAATTGCATGGGTTCCGCCTCCTCCTCCGCATCGCTACTCGGCTTCGAAGGTTCGTTCGGCGAAAAGCTTGTTGATAATGTCCCGTCTAAATCTGACAGGATTCACTATTCAAATAATTTATTGCCTATTTTCGTGTCTGGTCGAACAGTCATGAATCTTATCCAAGAAAGTTGATGCAATGAAAATTGTTGCTTCTATTCTATTTGAAATTCTATTCTTCTATATTCGAAAGAGACACAATCGGATTATTGAAAGTAAGATGGCTGATTTTTATTATAGATCAACTCATCGGTAAGGAAAAAAGCAGCGCAAGTCAGGACCAGCAGCAGCACGACGCTCGGAGTATCGCCAGAAATCCGAGTCTTTCGACGATCAACGAGGAGCGTTCCTCGCAGATCTCAGTGTATGAGTCTGCCGAAGTCACTTTAGTCGACGATGGTGACAAAGACGAAATATCCGTCAGCATTGATGGCAAAGACGTGTCTGTTTCACTGTATGACACGCCTGACTTATCCGAAAAAGACGCTAAACAGATTGCTGACATGTACTCCGAGGAAATATCCGATCATTTCTCCGGTTAGTTAGGTGTAAAGTTCAACAAAATTTTACGTATGTCTTTAGTACTATCTTTATACTATCTTTGATTTAGTATATGTTTCAAAATTAGTGTTTTGTCTGAATGAAAACAAGCAAATAATCCATGTAGGCGAACAATAATTTGGACAAGATTTGATTGACCATTACACATTTTGGATTTTTTTCACAGGTCAAGAAGGTAACCAAGCTGAACTTCCTCCTCTTCGCATTGTTCGTGAAACTTCACGCACAGGACCGCTTCTCATGGAAGCCATGGTCATCGACGTAGAGAACGATGCGTTTGATGAATACATGAGTATGTCTGACCAAGCTTACGACGACTTGAGAACTGAGGCTGACGTGGAAGAACTGTCCGTAATCGAAGCGGTGATGGTTGATGAGAGAGAAGTCTTGAGGTCTGACATTGTGGATATGCCTGATGTTGCAGTTGAAGTGGTATCACCACAAATTGTCGAGGGAGACTTAAAAGAAATCGCTCAGATATCCGAGGCCAATATCATGGCCCAGAACCTCAGAGCTTTGAGTGAACAGGGACTCGCAATGTTGCAAGATGATGGGCAAATTCATGATGAAGATTTCATTGGTGGAAGAGTGGCAGTGAAAGATCATGGGGAACAAATGGCAGAGAATATACAGAAGAAATCGAAACGACCAATAGATTACGTAGAATCGGCAATGTCTGACACTGAGCTCGCGAGCAATGCAGACGCGGGCCAGGAAAGCAGCGAAACTGCCACTCTACCTGATGACGGCAAATCAGCTAAGAAGAGTGCAAAAAAGAGGAAGAAGAAAGAAAGCCTTATTGGCTCTCCAGATGTTCAGTTATCTGAAGTTTCGACTCCTGTCAGCCCAGAATATTCCAATGTTGTTTTCGTAGAAAAGAGTGCCATGGACATAAATGATGTCCCAATTCTTGAAGCAGCGCCCTCGTTGAAGCAGCTTATCATTCAAAATAAATTTGCCGAGGTTTTGGAAGCCTCGTATATCGAAGCAATAATTCAACAGCAGGTCAATCTTCTATGTGGAACCGAAAGTCAGTTTTTCAATTTAGAAGACCCTCAATTACAAGAGGCGGTGTTACAACAACTGACATCAGCTGTACTGGCACAGCAGGTGCAGTACCGAGAGACAGATGAACCACTTCGAATAGTAGGCGATTCTTCGCATGCTGGAGAAGAATTTTGTTTGGACACCGCTCAACAATTCGGTCCATTTCCTACCACACAAGACACCTCTGGACTATTTATCGGAAATTACGAAGAGACGGAAATCGATTCGTCGGATGTCATGGAGCAGATGCTAATGAACATTGCCACATCATCAGCAGAAGCTGTCCTTGCTCAAGACAGTGGCACCGAACTTATAAATCAATACGTTTCTGTTGAAGAAAATGCTACTTTGTGGATGGAACCTCACCCCACTGTTCACACTCTTCAGCCTGAGGAACTTGAGTACCAATCTAGTTTTGAAACGGAGGATAATGAAGTGAAAACAGCAGTTTCTGATATTGAACAAGGTGCAGACTCAAATGCTACGGTCTCAGAACCTCCCCAATTACAAACTGCAGATGAAAATCTTCTGCAGGGCAAAACACTTGCGAAGAAACGTCAATCGGAAGAACAACTTCCCAAGGCCAGTGATGCAACTAAAGGAGATACAACAGTGGCGAAGAAAGTCAAAGTGGACGAAAGCGTCGGTACTAAAGACAAAAAATACGTAGATGGCAAAAAGACTGTAAAAGAAGACGTGAAAGTTAGAACCAACCTCTCTGGTACAGACATCTCTGCTCTCCAGACTGCCGTCAATAAACTGAAGCTAGAAAAGAAGCCGATTGAAATTGAAGAAATGTTGTCAGCTGGGGAAAACAAAATCTCTGTGAAGAGCAGCAAGATTAGGCTTTCATCTGATCAACAGAAAAATTTAGAAAACTTGGATAATTTCCCGGTGGAACTTCAAGTCCTGGCTCAGGTTCAAATGGAACTACCAGAGGGCAAGCAATTGATTCATAAAGTCATAGGCCCTCGAACTGCCGAACTAGCAAACAGGTTAAGTGAGTGTGACGTTGGTGATGCATTCAAGTCATTGCCGGTAATTGAAATAACCGAGATCAAGGCTGGTCCTGAAGTGATCAAGCGTAAAATGAAAATCAATAAAGCCAAAGTTATTTACATGGAAGATAAATGTGAAACTATTGATGAACAAAGCCTTAGGGAAATTTGCACAGCATCTGCTGAGGAAGTGCTCGCTGAAGTTTCACCGAAGAAAGGATTTTTCAAAAAAATACTTCCGGTTAAAAGGAAACCAATTGAAGTTGTAGTAGAAGGAAACGTTCTGGTAAAAGATGAAGTCCCAGAATGTGATACGAGTCAGCTCGTACATGAGGCTAGTGAAGAAAAACCATCTGCAAGAATCGAAGCAAAACAGGCAGCATGCGAGAGTGATGCTGATGATTCAGTTGCGAAGCATATTTCTGATAAAATTTCAGTTAATGAAACTTCAGTTATTGCTGAACCCATGGGCATCGCAGGCGTTTACGAGAAACTAGGGAAAGAATTACCTGAGCCTGTAAAAGAGTTGTCGGACGATGATCTGAGATCATTGACTGCCGTATTGCAACAGATTATTGCCGTTGAACGTCCAGTAGAACTGGTTGAGAAAACTACCCCACATGGGGAAGTCTTTGAAATTTGTGAGGGTAATGTGGAAATATCAAAAGATAATTTTGAGGTCCTTCAATCTTTGGTCAATCCGGCTGAAGATTTAGGCATTGCAATTGAGATAACTGAAACCCTTGATGATGAAAGACTCATAATTCACAAAGTTATTAGCCCTAAAAATGAGCGGCTGCTTGAGAAACTAATTGCTGAATCCTCAAAAGCCGAAATTGCAATGATCCCTGTTTTTGAAATAACTGAAGAAATAGACAAAGGAAAAACTGTAAAGAAAACTGTAAAAGTGAATGAAGCGAAGGTGGTTTTGGGAGACGCTCAACATGCGTCGCTCGAAGGCGCAGGGCTTCTGACCAGCTGTCAGACTGCTATTTCGGAAGTCATTCCTCACAAGAACGAACTCTGCAAGGCTGTAGTTTCAACAGTTCACGGTGATGTCGTTCAAGAAGTGACACGGGGACTGGATTCTATCGACGCTGCAGAGCCAAAATCTAGAATCGAGATTGGCCAACAAGATGATGTCATAGCCGAATCAAAAGATGTCGATGAAAAACAAAGCAACATACAAGAGTTCAGCGAAAAATCTGTTACAGAATTAAAACCATTAGTCGAAGCCGAGCCAAAATCTCGAATCATTGAAGAACCACAAGATTTTTACAAAGAAGAAGAAAAATTTGCGTCAGGAAATGATGTAAAATCCCCACTTGCGCAAGAAGCGGCACCTATGACTGAACGAGAAGTGTTACTACCATCTGGACAAGAAGCGACACCCTCACTAGGACAAGAAGCTACGTCTCCACCTGTACAAAAAGCTGTATTTCCATTTACACAAGAGATCACATCTCTACCTGGACAAGAAGCGGTACCACCACCTATACAAGAAACTGCACCTACACCTGCACAAGAAGCCGTATCTTTACCCAGACAAGAAGCGGTACCACCACCTCGACAAGAAGCCGTACTGCCACCTAGAGAAGAGTCCGTATCTCTTATTGGACAAGAAGAGGTACCACCACCTAGACAAGCAGCTGTATCACCACTACCTGAACAGGAAACGGTAATCATGCCAAGACAAGAAGCTGTATCATCACCTGGAGAAGAAGGTGTATCAGCACCTGGACAAGAAGTGGTACCCCCACCTGGACAAGAAGTGGTACCCCCACCTGGACAAGAAGTGGTACACCCACCTAGACAAGAAGTGGCAATCCCACTTAGACAAGAAGTGGTAATCCCACTTGGACAAGAAGTGGTAATCCCACTTGGACATGAATTGGTAATCCCACCTGGACAAGAAGTGGTAATCCCACCTGGACAAGAAGTGGTGATCCCACCCGGACAAGAAGTGGCTATATCACCTGGACAAGATGCGGTACTTTCACGAGGACAGAAAGTCGTGTCTCCATCTGTCCTAGAAGCGTTACCACCTGGAAAAGAAGCCGTATCTCCACCTAGGAAAGAAGCCGCATCTATAACCAGGCAAGAAGCTGCATCTGCACCTGGGCAAGAAGCAGTATCTTCACCTGGACAAGAAGAGGTATATTTATCTGGACAAAATGCCGTATCTCTACCCGGACACAAATCTCTAACTTCTTCTGGAAAAGAAGAGCGATTTTCATCTGGACAAGATGTCGCACTTGCACCTGGACAGGTAGAAATATCTCCACCTGGAAAAGAAGGCGTATCTTCGCCTAGCCAAACAGCGTTATCTCCACCTGAGCAAGAAGAGGTATCTCCACCAGGACAAAAAGCGGTATCTCCACCCGGACAAATAGCGGCATCTCCCCCTGAACAAGAATCGGTAACTCCGCTAGGACGAGAAGAGATATCTCCCCTTGAACAAGTTAACGAATTGCCACCTCGACAAGAAAGCGAAGCTCCTCCTCGACAAGAATCCGTACATCCACTTGGACAAGAAGCCGCACCTCCACCTGTACAAGAAGCCGAATTTCCATCTAGACACGAAGCCACATCTTCACCTAGACAAGAAGCCGTATCACCTTCAGGACACGAAGCCGAATTTGCAGCTAGTCAAGAAGCCGCATCCTCGACTAGGCAAGAAGCTGGATCTTCGTTGGAACAGAAAGCGGTACCTCCGCCTGGACAAGAAGCAGTATCTCCATCTGTTGCAGAAGCAGCACCTCTGCCTGGACAAAAACCGTTATCTACACCTGAACATGAATCGATTTCTGCACCAGGACAAGAATTTCTATCATCAAATGCACGAGAATTAAAAGTTCAACCATTTGAAGATTCAAAAATAATATGTGATAATAATGTTATAGCTAAAGCATATGAAAATATTGAGAAGGCCATATCGGACGCCTTTCAGAGAGGTGGGCATGACGTGTCCCTCAGTGATGCGGAAACTGTTCAAAAAGCTATTCAAGAGATGGTCAGTTCGAATGCTCCGGTGGAGCTTGTCTTCGAACGGAGTGCCGGAGACGTGCTTGCGAAGCTGCAAGAAGCTTCTGAAAACATTCCAGAGAAACAACTGAAGATTATTAAATCGATTAAAAATCCTCAAAAGGATTTGGTTGTCTTTTTAGAAGTCGCTGAAAACATTGGTGATGGACTGGAGTTAGTACAGAATATTGTTCTGCCGAAGAGGGACCTATTACTAAAAAGACTGGCGAAGAGTGCTGCAGATCCCGACAATGTTGATATTCCCGCGTTTGAGATCACGAAAATCGTGAAAGATGGTAATGAATTAAAGACCAGGATATGCATGAAAAAAGTTAAGGTAATGTTTCCAGAAAGCCAATTGGTTAAAGTCGATGAAATTTCTCTTGCAGCATTGTGCAAAGCATCAATTACTGAGCAACTAATGGATGCTACATCGAAAATAGAAGAAAAAACACATGAAATATGCTCGACACCACTGGATCTTGGGCCGGCATTGGATAGCAAACAACCGAATGAAGGCGAGGCAGATCAGCTGCAAAAAAACCTTTCTAGCAGTAGAGAATTGCAAGTCATAAAAGATAACGTGTGTGCCGCTCTCACACACTGTCAGCCGAAACTAAGTCATGATGATGCACAAATCCTTCAAGGTGCTTTAGATGCTATGAAAGAGTCTAAAAAACCAATTGAAATCCTAGAAAATTATGATCAAGCACAAAGGAAGTTCGAGATGAGGGAGGCGAAAGAAGAGGTGGCAGAAGATCTGCTAAGCGAATTATTATCTCTCAAAAACGTGAGAGATTTAAACGTAACTCTCGAAACCAAGCATTCGCTTCCGAACTCAGTTGAAATCGTTCACAAAGTGATTGGCCCTCCAAAGGAAAGACTTTGCGCTATCCAGCCTAAAATTGATGTGAGTCATTCCGATGTTCCGGTTTTTGAAATTTCCGAATTGTCCGTAGATGGAAACTTGAAAATTCGCCAAACGAGCGTAAGCACGGCAGCTGTAACAATTGGCGGCGACGACAACATCACGCTGGATGCAAATCAACTTGCTGCCAAGTGTATGGCTGCCATCACCGGCCTATTGGCTCAACTTCCGACTCAGGAAAAGCCTGGAAGTAATTTCGCGTCGCTTTTTACTCCGAAGCTCACCCATGCGGTTGAGAGTAAGCTTGACGGTGGAGCTGAAACTAAACCTGCAAGTTATGCCACAGAAAGTGTATCCGTTGCAGATATGGATGACAATCAGGAAATTCAAAAAGCTAGGGAACCAAAAAAAGGAGCTACTGAAGTGCCTATTATATCATCAGAAGCCGTTCTCTCGGCTTGTGAAGAGATATTAAAGTCACAGGGTGGAGCAATTGAGCCGGCGGACCTAGAAAAATATTTGAACATATCAGAGGCTGCAGATAAAGTCTTGGACGACGTTCTCCAGACTGCAGCCAAGGGTACAGTTTCCACTTCTGCGCAAGCTTCATTAATTGCCAAGAAGAAAGAAATTTCAGACAACAAAAAAGAATTATTAAAGAAGAAGAAACTCGTTCAAGAAGATAATAAGACTCCCAAATCTCAAGCAGTGCAAGTTCTTCAATTGACAACTGAAGCAAGTCGCTCTGCTACCGTTACAGAAAATATCCCAGATTCAATCGGTCCAGTTGCTGAAGAGAAACCCATGTCCTCTGCCATACCACCCGAATTGGCCGACGTCTTGCAATCTAAACTTGCAGATGCTGGCAGTCAGGCGGCTGCCATCCTACTCACTCTCGAGCGCAGTCTCGCATCCGCTTTCCAATCTTCTTCCGATTCTGCCAACCAAATGCTGTTGCTAGCTGAAGATAAAACTGAAGACAATAATTTGAAAGTTGAGTCATCGAAAACTGTCGATGAAACCTTATCGCAAGTGGACAGTCAAGGCTTAGATGTTAGCTCTGAACCGCAGCTGCAATTTGGAGAGTCGCCATCACTCGAATGTAAAACAATCGACTCTTCTGACACTGAAAAAACAAATGAAGACGTTAGTCAAAATGATGTATTACTTACATCTCCTCAAGCATTTAGAAATAAGAATAACGTTACGCTCTCGCATGGAATTGAGTGTGCCACTCACGACGGAGATGAAAATAATTTCGAAATTAATGCCCTTCAATCAACTTCAGATTCAGTTTCGAGCGATGTAGCTGTAGATCACACAGGCGACAAGAGAGATGTCGTAATCGATAACACTGTCCTTCCTGACAAAACAGGAGGTATTACAGCAGAAAACGATAAAATAATTAAAAGGGAAGCTTCCGTTCAGTCGGGGGAAAAAGGAAAGGGCAACGATAAAAAGGTAACTTTTTCTGAGAAAGAGACTATCCACGATTTTGTAGTGGAGTTTTCAGATCAAGAGGATGTACAGCACGACGCTGGGAGTGGAATGAGTCCTCATGGTGCACTTGAGATCACTGAAAAGGATTCGAATGTGTCGCTTGTCGGAAGCAGTGAAGCGATGTCACAGCAGGAAAAAGCCTCGTATGAAAAAGATAATAAAATATCCAGCGAGGATAATCTAATTGAGAATGGTATACCTAAACGCCTAAATGAGAGTATCACAACTGAGGTATCTGTACCTGAAGAAATGATCGTGTCAACTGAAGAAGTCAAGAGAGACTCCACAAGAGTTGACGTACATCATGAGAAGCTAGAAGCGCCACGTGGTACCACCGTACAACTTACAGTTGGTGGGGGAAGCACAATCTTGGCCGCACCTGCAATTAAGTCTGAGAACCAAGAAGAAATCAATAAATTTGAATCCGACTTTGTTGAAACACCGATACAATCGAAAACTCAGAAGGATAACAGCCATGAATCACAACCAGATGACAGTGTATTCATGGCTGAAGCGGTCAGTAAGAAGGCAGTCCCAGAAACACCATCTCCTGATAAGCTGAATACCGAAGAGGCGTCACAAGTCAACAAAAATGAATCTGCAGTGGCACAAGTGAGCGAATATTCAAAGGAGAATGATGTTGATCCAAATAAACAGAAAACGGCCATGGTCGAAGATCGTGGACGAGCCGAATCTTTTCGAAAACAAACTGATGATGTGAGTGAAGCTGATAGCAAAAGTTCAGAGTTGGTCGAGGTGCAATCGCATCAAACTATGCAAGCTTTGTTGACGCGTGAAGAAATTGAAACGAAAAATAAGAAACTTGGATTGTCTGACTCCAAAATTGGAAGTATAAAACAAGACCAGAGTGGCGATGCATCATCACCAGTTGCCAGTGAACGAGAAGCAATACATGAAAAAGAGATTGCCTCAGAAATTCACAGTGAACAAGGTGAGAACGTTGTAAAAGATAAAATTGAATTGCCCACAGCGTCAGATAAGAATGAAAAACAAATGGTTACCAAAACTCCTGAGAACATTGAAGTTTCAGAAGGCGAAGTTAAGTCACAAACATCGGTAGAAAATATTATTGATGTTAGAGGAGGAAAGGTCAACCTGGATGGCGAGTCAGACCGAAACATGCCTGTAACTGAGAAGGTTGAAAAAATGGATGCACCAGTAATGACAAGTACTTTAGATTCAGCTGACAGTAACGTTAGTGTACCTGTTGGAAATAACACGCTTATTAGTGGCGATGCAACTGGTGACAAAATTTCCAGGAATGAGGCCGAAGAAAAAGGAACTAGCTTGTCAACAAAGAAAGATTATGTAACCTTCGAAAGTGAGGTTTCAGGGAACATTGATGAGAATATGATGACGGCTCGTAATGTTGGAAATTTGACTGCGAAAATTGATCTGGTTGCTGAAGATGCTGCTGAAAATGAGACCAGGGCAAAAATTGAACCCAATGCAAAAGAGACAGGTGTGTTGGAAGACGGAAAGGTAAAAATTCTCCATGAAAAGATCATTGATGAAACTTCTGGACAAAGCCTTGAAATTAAGTGTGTAACGCCTGATAAAAGAAAAACGGACGCTCAGGAGGGGATTGTTAACAATTTCCATGAAGTAATACGAAAGGAAGAAGATGTTTCAGATGAAAACGCTACAGGGAAATCTATTGGACTAGGACAGCCAAAACTGAAAAGTGAAGCTGATGTCGAGGTCGAAAAGAAAACATCGGCAGATCAAACTACGAAAATTGGTGGGAACGATTATGAAGAAGTTGGAGGAGCTTCGATCAAAATAGACAGTCCTAAGGCTAAGAAGCTTCCCGAAGAAACTAAACAGCTACAGGAGCCAGAAACCCACTCAATTCCTAATGAAAAAACACGCGAAGATCCACAGAAAAATGCGGACGAAAGGAAAATTCCTGGGCAAAGTGATGTGGGAATTGAATTAGATTGCGCAGAAAAGCTTAGTAACGAAACGAGCAAGGCTGAAAACGATAAAGATAAAACGCTAGTGGGAACGGTTTCTGCTGATAAAAAAGCCGCTCAGAACAAAATTGTAAAATCAGGTCCTGAGGAACTACGTAAAGACGTCATCGACGAGAAGGTTTCTGGTACAGATACAAAGAGTGGAAAACCTCAAGAGGGTTCGACCACTGTCGTCGGGAAGAAAACTGTAGAAGCCGATCCAGAGAGAAAAGATATTTTGAGTGATTCGTCTGGCCCTGAAGACGAAAAGCTAATAAAAACCAACACTGAGAGACAAGATTCTCGAAAGATTCAAGGTGAGTCTTCAAATGACTTACAAGCTGCAGAGATGAACGCAACTAAAAAAATAGGTCCCGAGAAACTTTTAGCTGATTTAGACCACAAGGAGATTGAAGCCCGAGAGGCTGATAGATATCCTAAAGAAGTTTCTAGTGAAGTTAAGGATAAAGCGAAATCTACTAGGACACTCGGCAAGGAAAGAGTTTCAAGTGAGGTATATGATGATGCCAAAGAGAAGACTGCAGAGACAGACGCGGAGAGAAAACATTTTGAGGTGACTTCGGCGTATACGATAGACGAGGCTGCAGGATCTGACATGAAAATTAATTTCAAAATAGCTTTAGCTGATGCAGATAAGACGACTCCTGCCAAGAAAGGAGGAGAAGAAAAAGATTTTGAAGGGACTTCTGATTCTGCAGACGAAACGACCATTGCAAAGAAAGATACCGGGGAAAGAGATTTCACAAAAACCTCTGCTGATTTAGATGAAACGAAAAATCCAGAACCTGACGAAATGAGTAGAGATTCTGTAAAGGCTCTTTCGGATCTTACAAAAGGGCAAAGGGCAGAAAAGATTGTTTACTCAGGGAATGATGCCGATAAAATTTCAGCGGAAATAATCGTAGATGAAAAGAGTGGAGGCAGCTTCAGATCTGAGAGAAGTGATTCTGAGGAATTCTTAGCAGATGTGCGGGAACAAATGGAACCAACTTCTGACACAAGGAGAGATTCTAAGAAGTCTTCGGCTGATGATGAAGACGAAGACTTCATCATCAGCCAAAGAGCAAAAGCCGAACAGCATGAACCGAAGATTTCCTCATCAGCCGTTGAGCATGAGCTTGCAATAAAAGCAGGCGTTATGAGGAAGGACTCTGAAAAGTCTTTGCCTGATGCTGCAAACGAAATTTCAATAAAAATAGACAACCAGCAGAGCGATTACAAAAATTCTTCCGAGAATTACAGCAAAAAAATTAATTCCCAACAGGCTTCTTACGACGCTAAAGAGGAAAATGAAGCGGCCACATCAGACGCAGAACGAAAAGATTATCAGGTTACTGCAGTTCCTGGAGAGGAACATGCTTCCGTGGAAGACGATGAACTAGCGCCCTCAGCTTCGGATCGCGAGGAAGGTCCCAAGGAAGCGCAGCGAAAACCCATCGAAATCGAAAAACGAGACGGAGGAATCCCAACTTCGAGTGTTACCCGAACAGAAAACATGTTTGAGACAAATCAAATTGCAGAAGATGACGGAATTCAAGTTCATAGAGCAGAAAAGGCCAGAGTGCCTGAAGATAGTGAGTCAGGAAAAATGAATATTGCTAGCGTAGGATCAGATGACGCGCTGATCCCACAGGAAACGAAATATACTGAACCAGTCGCGGCTACAATGGAAGTTGCACGAAAGAAAGAAAAACACGGAAGAAAAGGGTCTTCCGAAATTGAGGAAACCTATTCTGTGGCAACCTTGAAGGTCGATGAAAATAAAACCATGCCTGCAGTCAAAACGTCGTCTACCGACGTCGCAGGAGAGGTTCTAAAGCGTAGTGAATCCACTTCTGATAATGTCTCGTCGTCTGGAACAATTGAGCTTGCCGGCCACGACGATGAAGTGTCCCACCGAAAAATAAACGCCTCTTCTATTGCTGATGAAGATTTCAAAATAAGAGACAAATCTGCAACTGAGAAAGACGTTGCTTCTCGAAAAAGAACAGAAGAAAACCTTCGTGAGGAAGGAAAATCAATGAAAAAGGACGCAACGACGGAGGCTCGAAAGACTTCTTCAACAAAAGAAGTGACATGTGAAAACGACGAGTTACCAACGAAAACAACAAAGGCCTCAACTGAAGAAGATGAATCGGCACTAAGGAAAAAGAAACGCGCTGAGGAAGATGAGCGAGTGGCAGCCGAAAGGCGACTCCGTCAAGAAGAGGAAGCTCAACGTGAGCAGGAAGCTGAAGCTCTTCACGAGAAGAAGGCCGCTGCTCGCAAGCAAGAAAGATTGAAGGAGCTGCAAGAAAGAGAAGAAGCTTTACTTCAAGAAGAAAAAATGAGACAAGAACGACGACGAAAGCAGAAAGAAGAAAAGGAAAAAGAGCTTCAAGCTGAAGAAGAAAGGTTGCGTAAATTGAACGAAGAACGTGAAGAAAAAAGGCGTCTCAGAAAAATGGAAGAGATTGAAGCGAGGAAGGCTGAAGAAATTCGTGAAAGAGAAAAGGAGAAAAGACGACAAGCTGAGCTAGAAGCACGTCGTATGGAACTGGATATGAAACACAAGGCTGAAGAAGATGCGATGCGCGCTGAAGAAGAAGATAGGAAGGCGAAGCGAAAGCAGAGGCTGTTAGACGAAGAGAAGGCTCTGGCTGAGGAACGAGAAAAGATGGAGAAAGATTTGTTTGAAAGAAGAGAAGCAAGAAGAAAATTGCTTGAGGAAGAATCCACAGAGAAAACGACGTTGAGACGAACACATGATGAAAAAGAAGAAAATAAAGTCATAGACACGAGTATTCGTCAACGAGAAAAACATGAAAAAGAAGCTCGGGAATTTGAGGAGATGAACCAAAAAATGGTGGAGTCAAAAATCAGGCGAGAAGAAGCGGAGAAGTTGCGGGCCAGGGAGCTGCAAATGCTGGAGGACATGGAGAGGCAGCGAGTTCAGGAGGAGAAGAAGAAGCTTGAAGAGGAGCTCAGGAGGAGGGAAGACCTCAAGAGACAGCAAGAGGAAGACATGCGGCAGCAGACTGAGCTCTTCCTCAAGAAGGTTTGCCTAACTTTCGATTCATGTAGAGCCTTTTGTCCATTGATCACTTTATTCATCTGCATTAATCATTCACGAGTTGCCAATATATGGATGAAATATGAAATTATAATTTTAAAACGAGATAAATTTAATAGTTTAATAATCTAGTATAGTTCATAATGACATGTACTTGGTCAGCTGAGATTGCTGATTGAGAAATTATCTCTTGGGAAGAAAATTCCGGTAAAAGTTTATTTGTTAATCAACCCAGCCTTGGTCTTTGGGTACATTAAGCGGCGTCAATGCTATTCATACAGAAAGGCCTGGAACCGAGAGATCCTGTCAGAACACAAAGGGTTAAATCAACCATTGTGACACGCACTCGCATTTACCTCTATCCAAAAATAAATGCATTCCGGAGTCTAAACTAACAAAGCTATGAACTTTTTACTCCCTTTTAAACTGTTGAATAAAGTCCAATATTCTGGCTGAGAAAGTTATGATATTCAATAATACACGTTTAGCTTATCTGGCTTTGAAACATTTTCCTACCAAGGAGGAAGAGCGACGCAAGCGTCGTCTGGAGGAGCGTATGCGCTGGTACAAGGATGACGAGACGGGCAAGCTCGACTACACGGAGAAGGAACTTGTCGTGCACCCGCTGCCTCTGGACATGCGCAAGCCGCGCGACTCTGAGGTAGGAATTCTGCGTCACAAGCTGATGCCATCTGATCCTCCTCTAAAAGATCAATTCATCCTCATTTTTTTCTTAATCAATACTAAGTTTTTCGAGAAGACCTTAAATGGAACTTAAACTTTGTAAACGACCAGCATCTTATCACGTTTATTTAATAAATTTCTTGGGCATCCATAGTCCTTTTTACACTGTGATGCAAAACAGCGACATTTCGGTAGAAATTATTCGATGCTTAAGTTACTGTTTTTTTACTGCTAAGAGCGAAGACGGATTCCGTCGAGACGTGAGACGCCGTCCAAAGTTCAGCACAAAGCTTCAGGACCGTCAAGCTGCACGAGGGACGCGAGTGAAACTTTCCTGTAACGTTCTTTGTGGTCCTGACGATCCGTTACCGGAGATCGAATGGTTCAAAGGAGGCTACCCACTCAAAGAGGAGGACAGAATTAAAGTGAGTCCTGGGATTATTCTGGGCTCCTCACTCACTGAGGAGGACAAAATTAATGTGAGACCTTGGATTAATCTGGTACCGGATGTGGATCAGGATAAACATTTAAAACACTCGGTACGGCACCAGCTACGCAAATGTAATTATCCCGTTTTTCACTGATGATAATTGAGAAAATTGTAACCGTCACATAAATCGTAAGGAAAACAGGATCAGAATCAAGAAAATTTTTGCGTAATGAAAAAATAAATATTTTTTATATAATTGCAGCATAATGAAATTAAAATGTAGCGTAACTGTCTCTCAATTGTAACAATCGGAAACTTTAATCTAAGCTGAAAAGAAACTTATGATGATCCGTACTATATAATACGGATCATCATTATATAATATTCCTAATATAAAAATATTTATATCTCCTAATATAAAAATATCCTCCTAATATAAAAAATCGAACTAATTTAGTTTAAGCATAATGCCATACAAATACCTAAAGTGAGGAGACAAATACGCTGGAGCGTCAAAAACTGATCTTAGCAATCAATGCAAACGTCAAGAAAAACATTCTTATCTGACTGAGGTTTGTAGAATAACGAACGACCACCAAAAATTCCTTTTGTTAAAATAATCTGTACAGGGCATGCCTCCATCTGTTGTCACAATTCATAGTCTTGCGGTGTAAAGAACAATATTTTTACACGGATCAATCATAAAAAAATAATATTTTGGAACGATGCCAAGAATTAGGCGATTTATCACTTCCCGACTATGTATTGGAAGTAAGGATCTGTTCCATTAAAAGATTATTATCATGAATGCGTTGAAGTTCCTTACCTACCGCAGCGTTGGATAGCTTCTATCGTCTTGTACATCTATAATTTCTTGCTCATTACGCTTTAATAAGAGCTGACTCATATTTAATTAACAGCTTATTTTTATCAAGTCGCCAAACAAAACAGTAATATGCTTTTCAGAACAATAACGAACAAATCTCCACTTTTTGTCATAATTATTACTGTACATGAAATCATTCATTCTTTTATTCTTTTATTATTTATTCATTCTTCAATTATTCTTGGAATTTTCCGCATTTACATCTTTTATTTTGGCAGACTTCGTTTATTGACGGCCTGGCGTCGCTGGAGATCCGTGAGGCAGCTCGGTCTGACTCCGGCGAGTACACGTGCACAGCGAACAACCGGCACGGCAGGGTGACAACTTCATGCGACCTGCGCGTCAAGGGGGAGGAAGAGAACAAGCCAAGTCCTCCCACCTTCACAACTTCAATTAGGGGTGAGATTTCATAATGCGTGTAGCAGAACAGTTTGTGAAAGTTTAAGTAATAATCTTTATAATAAATGCTTTTCAATATTTGTGATCATATCAACATATATGATTCGATCATTATGATCATATTAAGATTTATGATCATATTTCATGCTTTACTCATACTCCTACACTTCATCTTAGTGTGTGTGTTTTGAGAGTTAATTAAACCGTATCCTCAGTGTAGTTTTGTGAATGAGGCGAGGTTTTCCCATTGAAGCTCTATTCCTTCCATACTGAAGGGGTAGAGCTCTAATTTTCATACCAAATAATTATATAATTATTTCTTCAGCTCAAGGTTCGTAAGTCTTCATCTTACAGAAGGAGAAATATCAAGGATAATTTTCAAAGAGCAAATCTTTAACGAGGCGTCAAGCTCGAGGTTTAATTTTTCTATCATCTTAATTTCAATGTATTGTATTAAATTGGCCTAAGCGTAGGGAAGCTGTGACAAAACGCCGACTAACTGAAAATTATTGAGTGAATTGAGGCAATCCAATTAATCGAAAGACAGCAGTTCAGTCACAAGTTTCACTCGACAGAGCGGTACGTGGCAGAAGACGATGAGTTGGTGCTGTCTTGCCACGTCACGGGCTTCCCGCCGCCCAAGACGACGTGGCTCAAAGACGCTGACAAAGTGCCTGCCTCGCAACGCTTCCAGTCTGTTGTCTCTGACGAAGGAATCTGTGAGTCTCTTCGTACTGTTAATGTATTCATGATGGGTATTGACTATTACTTGAGTTTTATATTCATGATGGTACTGATTATTACTTTATCATTATATTCATGGAGGTATTGAATATTGATTATTATATTTATGCTGTGTTTTGATTTTTACTTCCTTGTTATATTCATTGCGAGTGTTGATCATTCATTGATTAATATATGTGTGATGGAAGTAGATCACTACTTGACTATTGTAGTAAATTTTCTTATTATGATTTTGGGATTTCTGTTACTGCTGATAATCCAACAAAGATGCATTGCTACTGACAACTAGTCATTATTACGAGGTAAATCCAATATTTATAATCAACGTTAAATTGTTCCTCTCTGGACTTTACCTTCGAACTTCCAATTATCAAAAGCTGACATACCGTATGACGTCACCCGCGGTTTTGTTTTGCTGCAGGTTCATACTCATCATTTGATTACCATCAATATTCGCGCTTAATTCTCAAAGAATAATAACTGCGTTAATCATGAACTATTTTGCTTCCAGGTTCTCTGATCATCAAGAACCCTCGAGCTGCTGACTCAGGTCTATACTCCTGCCACGCTGAGAACCGCGTGTACAGAGATGAAATATCCGCCAATGTCAGAGTTCCTGGTCAGTCGCCTTATTTTTCATATGGTTTTGAATTTCCTGCATTTATTTATTTTCTCTATTATGAATTGTTAGCTTTATACGCTTATTTACCTGTATTATTGGGACGCATAGTCTGATGGAATTTATTTAACAAAGACCCTACAGTTGCCCATAATTTGGCAAATGTGTATATTTTCCCGGAAGTGCCAAAAATATCACCGAAGTATTCATAATTAGCCGAATTAACAATCAAATCAGAATTTTCTGCCAAGCTCGTTGAAATTATGTATTTGATGACGATGGAAAATAATATTTTGTTTTTACAATACTACTTAATTGGAGGCCCTACAAAACCTCATCTTTCTTAAGTCTTTCTGAACCCTTTTCGTCTTTTCTACTCATAATTAGTTTACTAAATTTAGTCCATGGTTTATATTTTGTTCATGTTGCAGTTGATCGCAAATCACAAGTGCCGGACAACACAGAGACGCCGCGCTTCGTGACGGAGCTGTGCGACCAGCGCGTGCCAGAAGACGGCACTCTAACCCTGCAGGTTGACGTGGCAGGTCAGATCTCCCTTATTTTATATTAAATCTATCTTATCTCATGTCAGATCTCCCCTATCTTATGTTAGATATCCCTTATCCAATGTCAGATCTTCCCTATCTCATATAAGATCTCCCCTCTCTCATGTCAGATCTCTCCTATCTCGTGTCAGATCTCCCCTATGTTATGTTAGATATCACTTATCCCATGTCAGATCTCCCCTATCTTATGTTAGATATCCCTTATCCCATGTCAGATCTTATCCCAAACCTTATCCCATGTCAAGGTTTTCGCAACGTGTCAGATCTCCCCTATGTTATGTTAGATATCCCTTATCCCATGTCAGATCTCCCCTATCTTATGTTAGATATCCCTTATCCCATGTCAGATCTCCCCTATCTCATGTCAGATCTCCCCTAATTCATGTCAGATCTCCCCTATCTTATGTTATATATCCCTTATCTCATGTCAGATCTCCCCTATCTCATGTCAGATCTTCCCTATCTCATGTCTAATCTCCCCTAATTCACGTCAGATCTCCCTATCTCATGTCAAATCTCTCCTATCTCATGTCAGATCTTCCCTATTTCACGTCAGATCTCTCCTATCTTATGTTAGATCTCCCCTATCTCATGTCAGATCTCCTCCATCTCATGTCAGATCTCCCCTATCTCATGTCAGATCTCCCCTATCTCATGTCAGATCTCCCCTATCTCATGTCAAATCTCCCCTATCTCATGTCAGATATGCTCTATCTCATGTCAGATCACCCCGATCCCGTACAGGATCTCGCAAATAAATGAACATAAAACCCTGATCTACTCGTATGTTCCTTGATGGGACATAAACCAATGTTCTCAATTCAAAACAAAAAAATGTTCATTTTCTTCATGGTCATTTCGTGCGTTAATCGTTAATGTTGAAGAGAGTAATATTGTATGACAACAGGCACACCAACACCGGACATCCTGTGGCTCTTCAACGGACGATCACTCGCTCCTTCCGGCAAGATGCGCGTGTCCTCGGTGGGCTCCTCTCACACCCTCACCGTCTTCCAGGTCAAGGAGAAGGATCTTGGCACATACTCCTGCAGGATACAGAACCCGTGCGTCTATCGTAACTGACTGTTTCAAAATCGTTGCCATTTATTGCAAGAACAATATTCAATTTCAATTTGTTCATGAACGGTTGTGATTTATGTGCAACGAATTCATTTTTTTCGTTGGCTTCATAGATATGTTTCACTGCATGGATAGTTTTCGCGAACAAAATAAGCTATACTTCTTGAACCTAAGATGAAAAAATGAATAGATCTTATTTTTTCTCTGAAAAAAAAAATCGAAAGTATTTAGTTCGCTCCTTATCTGCCCAGTATTTAACGAGCGATTTACTCATTTTTCAATTTGTAGGAGCTAAGCTATTCAAGTGGTCCTTTCAGGTACGGCAACGCCTACACGCTTAGCACGGTCTCCTTCGGTACCGCGAGGCCGCGGCGCGGAGGCAGCGACAAGAGCGGCGAGACAGAGATGCGGGCGCCGTCCTTCACGGAGCGTCCCGAGAGCATGATAACCGCCTTCAGGGACGAGGAGCTAACCCTCAGCTGTACCGTGATGGGGGAGCCCACACCAAGAGGTGAGGGTGATGGGTGATGAGCTTACCCTCAGCTGTACCGTGATGGGGGAGCCCACGCCAAGAGGTGAGGGTGATGGGTGATGAGCTTACCCTCAGCTGTACCGTGGTGGGGGAGCCCACGCCAAGAGGTGAGGGTGATGGGTGATGAGGTGTTCACCCTCAGCTGTACCGTGATGGGCGAGCCTACGCCAAGAGGTGAGGGTGATGGGTGATGAGCTTACTCTCAACTGTACCGTGATGGGGGAGCCCACACCACAAGGTGAGGGTGATGGGTGATGAGGTGTTCACCCTCAGCTGTACCGTGATGGGGGAGCCCACACCAAGAGGTGAGGGTGATGGGTGATGAGCTTACCCTCTGCTGTACCGTGATGGGGGAGCCTACGCCAAGAGGTGACGGTGATGGGGGACGAGGTGTTAACCCTCAGCTGCACCGTGATGGGGGAGCCCACACCAAGAGGTGAGGGTGATGGGTCTCCGTTGGAACGCTCATCGTTCAGCTCGCTATCGTTGAAGCCAGACCGAGAGTCCGGACCGAGAGGCTTGAGCTCCTCAAATTGAACCTTATTCTATAAGCTAAATAACTACATTGTAAAATATAATGAGCAGGCCAACTGGTATATAGTTTCCTATGAAGGTCAATTATATTTTAAGTAGTTAGACGGAGTTTGTCTATAGGAAGATATATGATTTTACTCACCCATGACTCTTTTTTCTCTAGGGTGATTGGATGTACATTCTTAGATAGTGGTCAGAGTAGCGGAGCTACTTTGACCACAAAGTTTGACCATAGCTTTTGTTTCATATCCTGATATGATCTTGATTTTCAATTAAATTAAATAAAATTATGCTTGCAACCCTGATTATTGTGTATGGCTTGAAATAGATGAATTAGTTGACCAAAACTTTTCATATTGTTCTTAATACACCGCAGTGACCTGGCTGAAGGGTATGCAAGATGTCTCGAACCGCTTCACGTCGCATAAAACAGTGCAAGGGAACACGCACACATGGACGTTGCGAGGTGTGCAGTTCACCGACTCCGGAACGTACACAATTGAGGCCAAAAACGCACACGGCACCGTGCGCTCATACTGCAGTGTTAAGGTGGGCGCAGAGACATCGAACATTTCATATAAAAGTACCAATAAAAATTTGTTTGACGTGAACAGAATCTGCAGGTTTAGGTTTTGCGAGGACGATGATTTTAAATTTACCTGCAAGCATTGCCAATCTATTTTTGTTTAAAAATTGCAAATGATATCGGTTAGTTAAAAAATAATTCCAAATTTTATATAAATGTACGACGGGATCAATGGAACAAAAATTTTATTACCCTTTGAAATTTGTATCTATAAAGAATAGTTTGTTTTCAGTTCACTTCATTAATTAAATTGTTAGTCAGACAGTTAATGGACATAAGAACTTGATGCTTATACCCAAAACATGGTCTCTAGTAATTGATGCATATACCAATCTCAGGGTTTAGGCGTGCAAAAACATCTGATCAATTACTTTTTTCATATTAAAACAACTGATTAATTTTAAGCAACTGATTACTTATATCCTGCGAATAAAAACATCCTTTAAATGTTCATCTCTTACTTTCTTCATATTAAAACAATTGATTAATTATAAGCAAGTGATTAATTATATCCTGGGAATAAAAACATCCTTTAAATGTTCATCTCTTACTTTCTTCATATTAAAACAACTGATTACTTATATCCTGCTAATAAAAACATCTATTAAATGTTCATCTCAGGTGAAGGACAACAGCCGCTCTCGGTCCTACTCCCCCAGGGGGACCGAGCGCTTCCCGTCGGTGTCGCACGACGAGGACCAGCGGCGCATGTCTGGCCGCTTCATCAGAGGTGCGGGCGGCGGCGCGGAACTCTTATTTACTTAATTTTATTTAATTATTTTATTTACTTTATTTGTATCTATTTATTTTATTTACTTTATTTATATTTATTTATTTTATTTACTTTATTTGTATATATTTATTTTATTTACTTTATTTGTATTTATTCATTTTATTTACTTTATTTATAAATAATATTATACTTTAGGAGGAGGATTTATGGCAGAGGTTTAAAATTCGTTTATGTTATTGGACTAAATGCATTCAATTGACATTTATCTAACTATATTTAAAATAATTTAGCAGAAATTACAACACTATAGGAATTAATACACACCATACGCAGTAGTGATTGACCGTGTTCGTTATTACATTGAGTTCGTTACCGTGTTCGTTACCATGTTCGTTACCGTGTTTGTTATTACATTACATTATTATGTTATTACATATTACATTACATTACCTTGAGCAGATGTACCCGGGAAGGTGGGCACCATCCGAGCCGTGGACGTGGGCAAGTCGTGGGTATCTCTGAAGTGGGGCAAGCCTGAGCACGTGGGCAGCTGCCCCGTCACCGCCTACAAGATAGAAGCTTGGATACTGGGCGAGGAGGCGCGGTGGCAGGAGGTGATGTACACTATATCCAAACTTTAGGTGTGAAGTAGTTATTTCCAACACTTCAGTCAATAATATACTTGTTCCTAATACTTCAGTGAATCATCAATCATCAGCTTGTTTCCAACACTCCAGTGAATCATGTATTTGTTCCCAACACTTTGTCATTCATCTACTTGCTCTTAATACTTCAGTGAATCATCTGCTTGTTCCCAACACTTCAGTCAATCATCTACTTGTTCCCAGCACTGCAGTGATTCATCTACTTGTTTCCAACACTTCACTGAATCATATACTTGTTGAGTCTTGTTCCAACAGTCCAGTGAATCATTTACTTGCTACCAACACTTCAGTGAATCATCTGCTTTTTCCCAATACTTCGTCATTCATCTACTTGCTCCTAACACTTAAGTCAATCATCCACTTGTTCCCAACACTTCAGTCAGTCATCTACTTGTGCCTAACACTTCAGCCAATTATCTCATTAATTCTCGTTAACTTTGTTGATGACTTGGCTGTAAATTAATTATACTGTTAAACTCGCAATATTATATGTCTGTAAAATGTAAATTGATACAGCAAAATTACATTACAATTTTCTGATGGATATTCCATGCCACCACAGCTGGCGGTGTCACCGATCTGCTCGTTCGACGCGTACCACCTGAAGCCGGAGCGCGAGTACCTGTTCCGCGTGACTCCCCGTAACAAGTACGGGTGGGGGGAGGTGGAGATGACCCCGCGCCCCGTGAGGGTGGGGAGGACCATAGAGCAGCCCATCATACCCCGCACGCTGCCCCGACAAGTGCGCTGCATGCCCGGCGGGTCCATCTCCTTTGACGCCCAGGTGCGCACTATTGATCCTCATGGTCTGGATAATAATTTTTTTAATTACTTTACTTTAATAATCAACTGAAAAACATAATTAGTGAAATAATTGCTGATCACGTGGCAGATTTTCTGCCGGCGCTGATACTTTCAACCTGTGGGTCTGATCCATTATAATGTTCAAAGTGACTTTTAAGTGTCATATTTAAAGTGCAAGTTTATATCAATGCAAGTTTATATATCAATCGTCAGACTTTCCGGTTTTAGTGCATTTTCTCATTTATGGAAAAAATGCCCTACTGTGCTCGTCATAACCGTCTGTCTGTCCGTCCGTCTGTCCGTGATTTCATGTTTTAGTCGACGAGAAAATGCGCTCTCTCACTCACTGCAGTGAGTACTGAGTTAGATTTTTTAAGGAGAAATCTTGCGACGTTCATTAATTGCTTAGGCATTACAATTAATCAATGTTTAAGGATGTGCTAATTCATCTCTTTTGAAGTTGAAGACAAGCTTTGATGCGTTGACAGGTGACGGGCGATCCTCTCCCAGAGGTGCGGTGGTATAAAGATGGCTCTGTTCTCGACCCTCAGCGCTACCCTCGCTTCAGCACTCAGTTCTCGGCAGGCACCGTAAGTATAACAGACCTTTTTATATTTTTTCGTAGGACGAGCTTAAGCTTTCTTTGTTTTTTGCCTTCATAAATTCGAGCTTGCTGTAGTAATACGTAGATTTGAGCAAGTAAACGAGTACCTCTCAGCACGAGAAATTTATCGCTACATATGAATAGTTAATCGGTCTTTTGCTTAAATGTTTTTTGTTGCTTATTAAGCGTTAGTTGTTGTGTTGGTGCACTTGCCTTGTATGTGTAGATTTATTATCAGGCTAGCGAGTTTTTTATCATCTTGTTTGTCTGTCAGTGAGTCTATGTGCCTTTTCATGATAATTACTAGAGGTTCATGTAAATGGATGTTTGGCTTTATAAGATTAGGAGTCTCTCGTATTGCGTGTTCAAATCGGAGTGGGCGTAACCGTTGTAACTTAATTTATTGCGTCTTTGATAATAATTAATAGCAAAGCTTGAACAATTGTAAAGTAAAGATGTGCACATATTTCTGCGAAAATGTTTCATGATTGTGCCAGTTTCAGAATATATCAAACTAATTAATTCATGGAAATAACTGTCAATAATTTGCACGTTCACAACTTTGTTCGTCTCTGTCGACGTTGGACCTCTTCGAATTGTTTCCAAATTTGCGCGTACCGAGTTCGCTCTGAATAAAATCAATGCATAGCGTGAACCGAAATAACCGTGTAGACTAAATATGCATATTTTTGATAATTTGTAGATTTCGTAACTTGAGGTAATCTTCACAAACAAGTCTTCGTTTAAAAGTGTTGTGATTAATTATACCTGTTTGATGCTGAACTACCTATTACAAATGCAAACGGTCTTTCTCTGCTGAACGGAAAAGGGTGGCATTTCCAAATTGATACTGAGGTCATAATTATGAGTGGACCTTAGAATAGAATAGAAGTGTCGGCGCTGAAGAAATGGGCCCATGGCCTGTTGTCGATTCTCGTACTTTTCGTGAATTGATTCACTGAAGATCTATAAACCGGCCTTTCCACCACATATTTTTAAAACTGACGTTGGTTTGAGCTAGCTACTGGACTTAATACCAAGTCCGTAAAGTGAGAGGCATTTAAAGACTGAAAATTTGCTCCTGCATAACTTTGTCGTGTCTGTTCTTGAACGTGGTCATACTCCGAGCTTCAAATCATCAGGGAGGCTGTTCAACATGTCGGTGACTCAAAGCGAGAAGAAATATTGTCGCATGGATGTGTTGCACCGCAGTTGTTTTTAGCTTATAGCCGTGGCCCCTGGCGTTGGTTCATGTTTTAAATTCTAGGAATCCTTCTGGGACCTTGTATAAACCATGAGTATACTTGAATACTTCGATGAGTTCGCCGCGCAGACGTCGATAACATTGACTTCGAAGCTTCATAATCTTTGATATTTCATCAGTAGACTTGTCCATTAATCCCGAACTTATCCTTGCTGCACGTCTTTGAAAATTCTCGACTAAATTTTTATCCTTTTCAAGTTTCGGTGACCACACGTCGCTTTCAAACTCTAGGTTCGGACTCACGACAGCGACAAACAACAGCTTTATCGCTTCTGCATCTATGTACTCGAAAGAGCGTGTGATCAGTCCAAGTCGTTTATTGCATTTATTAACTTGAGCTTCAATATGCTAAGAAAATGTCAACTCCTTAGGTAGAAAATGAGTTGGCTTCTCTTGACATTTCTTTGAACATTGGTGTCAGTTTAGCTTCTTTCCAGTGAGCCGGCAAGCTCCCTTCGTTCAATTTTTTTTCCTTTTTTGAAAAATACAGTCAAAGGGCCGGATAGGACGTTTGCTAACATTTTGAGTAATCAGGAATGGAAGTTGTCAGGTCCACAAGATTTACGATTCAGAGCGACTAGGCGCTTGAGAACCTTGAAGTGGAATGAAGCTCTGCAGTGAAAACTTACATGTAGTGAGGAAGTTAAAGAGAAAAAATAAATGAAAGATCGAATAGATGAGACAATTCATGCTAAACCACCAATATTTTCTATATTTCACAGATTAAATGCATGATATAACGTTACACATGACACAAGGCTTTACTGTCTTCCGCCCTCCCTCAAAAATAATTCAGAACCCCTTAAAAGTTTTCTTAAACAATGATTTGTAGTCTACGGATTTTAGTTTTTATTTTTGACCCCCGACTCCCCATGAAATTGTCATTAGTTGATTCATCATATCCCTTACATTAAAAATGCCTAACTTCATTAATCTGCCCTTAATCATTAATCATTAATAATTTTCATTTGTTTTTGAGCGCTAGAACTCTGAATTCAGAGTCTTCGTGTTGGTGATCGATACTGTGGAGAGATCTACCTGCTCTGTGCCCAATCCATCTATATACGTTACAATAATACGATACCGAAAGGTTGCCAAACCTATTTAGAGGATATACAGAGTAATAAATTTATAGAAATGAAAAAAACATGCACTTTGAAATTTCGTGTTGAATTTGGAATCTAATTTCAATCGTTGGCAAGTGTCACGAGGCGACCATTGACACTGTAAAACTTGACAGCCTTTGCGGTTTTGTGATGTTGCGTACGATAAGGAATTCTGCGCATTGCTTGTCGAATATTAATAAGAGAGTATGAAATAAAACATTGTGGGTACAAAGGTTAATCTAAACTTCACCGTCTATGCCAATAAGTTCAGTTATTATTACAATTTTCGGTTACATTTTGAGTGGACGTAAACCATTTATGTAAGCGAAATGCGTAAAGTTATTCCGGATATTAATTGTTAGTGTGTGTACACTAAAACAACTTCAGTATACAAGTCGGTTAAATTGCATCTAGGATATACAAGCATTTACTCATGTTTATCTATTGCTCAGGTATTGCCCACATAGATGAAAAAGAGTACTATAGTTCAGAAACTGATTATTTCAGTTGTTGCATGCATAAAAATAATTTCGATTGCACCGATGATCAGAAAAACATCACATTGAATTATGATAGATGATTGTTTTAACTAAACCTGTGATGTAGTGTCGTTATTGTCGACTCGAACTCTGCTCACCAGGTTTTCCTTTCAATAGCCATTCTAGAATGTAGAATATTTAGTCAGTTTGTTGTAAATATTCACTAGAATGTCGATTTGTTGTAATAGTAGCAGCAATAGATTTTTGTGGAATTGCATGTAATTATATGAGATGTGTTTTTATTCGTAGATCGGTCAATGTTTGTAAATGAATCGATGAACTAGACTGAGCTTTTTTTTCACTTTTAACCGCCGTCCACTTCTCAAACAGATACACAACGTATTCGGCTACGTTCACAAGGTAAGTTTATCAACGGCTACTCTATTATTTACTGTGCCAGATATTTATGATTTTTTAGTCATTACGTGATACTCAAATACTCTGACATGAATTAAAGATACGTTAAGAATTATTCTCACTTCATAATTCTTATGCATGTATTGTTTTCTTCTTATGCCGATATTTTGCCTCGTACCCCGCATAGTATATACTGAACCCATTCATGCATTTTTGTAGCCGATTTAAAGTAAGAGACTTTAATCTTTATTGGTAAATTTTATGATCGTGAATTCATAATTCCAATCAAGTTTATAGATGAAAAAAATTTTTTTTAGCTTAATCTGACTGATGAGGAAGCATAAAGTTTCTCAGCGTTTACTGGTAAATTTAATGTCTGTAAATTTATTAAACCTTACTGAAAAGTATCTCTGACTAGGAAATAATGGAGTATAACTTTTAAACCTTGTAAATTGAGCCATCCAAGAATTGATTACTGCCAGGCAATAGTTGTTTACTCTATTTTTCGCTCATTTTTTTGCATATCGAGTAATTTAATGTCAATTTACTCGTAGATAGCCTCTTCCAATATTATTTACTTATAAGTTATTTTTTCAGGTTCGTAAAATAACTCAGCTAGCGTAAAGAAAAACAGTTTCAAGTAATAAAAGTTGATGCAAGTATTTTTCACCTACAGGTTAGCCTGCGTATCGACGACCTGCACTGGGAAGATGAAGGCAAGTACGAGATGGAGGCAGTGAACCCTGGCGGGCGAGTGACCTCCTACACGAGGCTGCTGTCCACCAGCGACTGTTCCGTGCTGGAGGCCCACGAGAAGATCAACAGGTCAGTGTCATTCTTTTATCGTGGCCGAAATTTTGTAGCTTTTCTAATGGTTTGTATCATTATCTGACGATCTTTCCGTTTCGCACTGTCAATGTGAAGCGGGTTAACTTTTAGCTGTGCTTATAGTTGTAAAGCGCCGCACTTCCTCAGGCAGGACTTGGGATAAAAATTTCAAAAATCTTTATTTGAAGGTACCCCCAATCTGAACCATCATCCTATACTGGCTATTATAGCTTAAGGGGGATCGTCAGGATCTAAAAAGCCAAAAAATTTGCTTTTCCATTTTTTGGCCCATTTATTAGCTGCGGAAAAGGAGCATCGATAAACGTATGCTGTTTTGTTTGAACGTCCGTACATTACCAGTAGTTTCAAACCCTATTTATGTTAAACAGCGATCGTTTCGGTTCATTTCCACCCATTTATCCAGAATTTTGCGTAATTTAACCTTAATATCTCGATTAAGGAAATATATTTTGCGCCCTCACAATATTGTAAATTTATTGTCAGCCTCGGATGCATGGTAGGTCCCGCGGGCAGAAATCCTGAAGAATTCTGATTGTAGCTAATTTTTCCAGCTTTTTAATTTCATCTTTACTCATGTTCTCTCCTTTATGAGATACCCTTGTGAATCATTATTTTGTAGGCTCCAAGTTAGCTTGTCTATTATCATTTAATTCGCATCGACTTACCTCGTCTGTTATATTCTTTCATCAAAGCTTTGCTCCTGTTAGTCATGGATATAGAATATGGTATTCTTATTCATCATCCGATGACGTCATTTCTTCTAACTCGCGCCCTCGCCGCCACCCATCGTCACATTTCAGAATTTTTTAATCGTCGAAACCGACACTACTAATCTTTTTGATGCGTTGAAACCGACACTACTGATCCTTTTGATGCGTTGAAACCGACACTACTGATCCTTTTGACGCGTTGAAACCGACACTACTGATTTTTTTGATGCGTTGAAACCGACATCACTTATCTCTTTGATGCGTTGAAACCGACACCAACCAACACCACTAATCTTTTTGATGTGTTTAAACTGACACTACTTAAGCCTCCTGCAAATGGCGTCTATCACAGGCACCTGACGGCGCTGTCGCGCATGGATGCCGTGCCGTGTCTGGCGCCGCAGTTCGCGCTGCGTCTGCGCGACCGTCGCGTGCAGGTCGGCTTCCCTGTGCGCCTCACGTGCCAGGTCATCGCTGTGCCTGCGCCTGACGTGCGCTGGTGCAAGGACGGAGTTCCGCTCGTGGAAGACGGTTGGTGGTTTAGAAATTACTCTCGTTAAGTGGTAATTAAATGGAAAGTAAGGTGACGAAAAGTTTTCCTTCTATTTATAGTGGTGAGTTTCTTGAGAAATGAATTTCACGCAACAAAGTTCCGCTGCTGGAAGACGGTTGGTGGTCGAGAAATTACTCCCGTTAATTGTTAATGAAATGGAAAGTAAATCAACAAAAATTTTCCTTCTATTTCTATTGATGAGTTTCTCAAGAAATGAATTTCATGCAACAAAGTCCGCTGGTGGAAGACGGTTGGTGGTCGAGAAATTAGTAGCGTTAATTGTTACTGAAATGGAAAGTATGGCGACAAAAGTTTTCCTTCTATTTCTATTGGTGAGTTTCTTGTGGAATGAATTTCATGCAACAGAGTTTGCAAGTTCAATGGAAATGGTGCCCGATAAATTGCCTTCGAGAATCGGTGAAGCGGAGAAGTCAAGTTCTGATTTAATTTCCAAGTCTCGATTTGTCTCGATTGTGCGGCCGTGACTTGCAGTCCTCGAGTAATTATCTTCGTTGACCGACCGCCATGGGGTAATATTTCTTCGATATTTTACCAGTCGGTGACACAGTTAAGAAGTGATGATCTAAATAATTGATGCCGAGTATATTGATGCTTTGTATGTTTATTTGAAACTGTTTAAATATTTATCACGTATTTTCGATCCTGATAATTTAACCTTGAGAAAATTTCTTTTGTTCCTTCTGATTGAGTGTCATTCGCGAGCCTATGTTTTCAACTAAGACCCGGGGCTATTTTAGTATTTCGAATTGATTTCTAATTTTGGTTATAATCGGATTGGTCAAATCAGTCATCCGAATGTTTAAGGTTAATCATATTTTATGGTAATGTTTACGAATTATTATTCAATGGTGCACCTGTATACTCTGAATTTCCACAATAGTTTTTTTAGAGTTTGGCACAGTCTGCGTCAACAAAAAAAGTATTTTTCGTTTTTGTGATATCATTATAGAGCTCTCATAGCGCGCTTCTAATGCACCAAACCGCATGTATGTGCGTGGAAAAAAATGTGTATTTCTGATGACCCTTACGAATATTACGTACAAAATTACATGTTTGTAGATTATGGTTATGATTAACCATACAAAAAATGAGTCATGTGCTCGCCTAAGTTACTCTCGGTACGATTAATATGCGATGGAAATGTCAGAGCTACAGTACATTTTAAAAAATCCGATTTGTCCAACGTTTACTTCTTTGTTAATTTTTTTCCGCTATTTTAATATATTTTCTGGTTATTGCTAATAGTAATTAAGGAAATAAAGTTAGTAACTCCTTTCATTCAGGCGCTATAACCTTGAGTGCCATATCATTTAATTTGGTTGTGATAATATATATTGACGTTAGAAGCCTTTTCTATTCAGTCATTTATTTTTTTAATATGATGAGAATATCGTAGGGATTTTTGTGGGATTTTTTTGGGATATGGAATTTTTGTGGGGCCCTGCTAAAAAAATTAAAAACCAGCTTTAAAAAGTCCATTGATATTAACATTGTACACAAAATTATTATTTTAAGGAAATAATAATAGCACTGTATGACTTTAAATGGTTTTAAAATTTCCCATTTTTTCATTTTTCTTATTTTTCTGAAAAATTTTCAAACAAAATGTGCTTGTATTGGTATCTTATACACGTGCGTATGAAAGAAAGCTAAAAATATCAGTTATTGAATCAACGAAATTTTTTTACCCACATGCTCCCCATCTTCTAATTTTACTCCAACAATCAACAAAGTTGTTAAGCGTTTCAAAATCTACTTGAATGAAATTTTCAATCTTGCTCACAATTAATGATCGTGTCACCAAATGTAATTTGTAATTTTCTTCGTGTAATTTTTAGCACTGAGTAACAATTATTTCTATAATTGCATCCTTCCAACTATTACAATTTTGGGGCAAATAATTCAGTAATTAAAAAAATTCGTTTCAACAATGACATTTCCACACTGCATATTACCGACCACAACCGTCCCACATTGCATATTACCGACCACGACCGTCCCATGCCTCAGACGGGCACCGCACGTGGCAAGAGGACGGTCACTTCTACTCGCTGGAGCTGTCGGAGGCGCAGCACGAGGACGCCGCCATCTACTCCGTCACGGCCACCAACCCCTACGGCTGCGTGACTTGCCGCTGCCGCCTCATCGTCGACTCCGGCCTGCGGTGAGTACGGCTGCGTGACTTGCCGCTGCCGCCTCATCGTCGACTCCGGCCTGCGGTGAGTACGGCTGGACGCCTCTGGAGCACCAAAGTTTTAGTATTTGCTTAATGATACGCGTCAAAATGAATGAATAGCTAACTTTGAGACCTGATAAGTCAATAATTTCCTGTCCAGAGAAGCTGCTACTATTATTAAAGTCATTAAATTTTAATGGAGAAATTCTTATATGAGAAAATCTAGTACAATTCGCGTCATTAAAAATTGAACAATTTTTTATGATTAGATCACATTTCAATTTACTTTTACGTAAAATTACCATTAATGTTTAAGCTTAACTTGCCCTGTCGCATAACTATCGTATCCTGGGCCTATACTTTCAAAAAAGTTAAGAGATCATAAGTTCATCAGCCAATCATTCACGGCCTTTCAAGCAAAATCCGCCAATCATATAGACAAGAAAATAGAGTGTAAGTACTTACGTTCACTTGGCGAGTTTTGAAAGTATGGTCCCTGAGCACGCAATCGATATGACGTTGTGCAGGTCCTACATCTCCCCGATGTTCCTACGCGAGCTGGAGGACGTGAGTGTGAGTGAAGGAGAGACCATCATCCTTCAGACCGTCATAGAAGCATACCCCACCATCGGGGTCGTCTGGTGAGCATAGACGGTATTTTTCCTAACTCAGCAATCCAATCAGGAGATTCTACCCTGCCAATCCCGAAACTCTGCGCTATGATTGAACATGGCCTACTGGCTTTCCAGCACATAGAGTCAGCATGGGTGCTAATTTCTTATATAACTTCGAAATAATTGTTTTCCAATATTTGACTAACGGTAAGCTATGCATGCGAAGTTAGCGTTTGTTTCAACTTTTCATTCATAGTTGGGTAGAAAATGCCCAATTTTATGCTGTTTTCATAACTGGCTTTTTTATTTATATTTATTTTTTGTCAGAGTTGGTACGACTCACATTCAAGATAGAAACGACATATAATCATACACAGGTACACCTGACAAATGGTGAAGCAAGGAAAATAGGTTATTTTCCTGCATTTCTGGTCAAATCAGATTACTTCTTTCCCTGCGATGCTGTTGTAATGTAAATTTTTGAGTTTGAGTAGAACTATTACTGAGGCCTACAGAAATTTTCCATGTTTCATAAAGTACAAACCTGTAATTCGATCTTCTTCAGAATGAGCAGAACTAAATCCCTTTACACGTACTGTTATTATTGCGCATGGAAATTCATCATCAATTTACACTCGTGATAACCTTTCTTATCACCACCACTGCCATCTCTGTGACCCTTAGTATAGTATAATATCTTCGGCATTGAATAATAGGCCTGTCGCCGATTCTTGTATTTTTCTTGACTAGACTGGCCAGAATTTTTTTTGACTGGACTGGCCAGAACTTTAGGCCTTAATCCACTTCGCGTAATAACTTAAGTGTGATGTCTATGCAGGCACAGGGACGGCCATCGTATACGGCCGTCCCGTAAGTACACATTCGACCTGGACGAGGATGGCTTGGCGACGCTCGAGATCGAGCGAGCGCGGTACAGCGACGGCGGCCTCTACACCTGCACGGCCACCAACGAGATGGGGACCATCGAGTCAATTTGCCGCGTCTCTGTCGCTTCCAGGCTACCTGACCTTTCTGTTGCGCACTCCACCGACGGACAGTAAGTAGCATTCTTAACCGCATATTCTACTTCACAATCAAGACATAGAATAAATAGAAGTGTCGGCACTGAAGAAATAGGCCCATGGCCTTGAACTTTTCGCGACTTGATTCTATAAGGGATCCGGCCTATGGAACCCGATCTTTCCATAACTGACGAATTGATTGAGATAGCTGCTGGACTTATTGCCTGCGTAATGTGCTCGGCATTTCAAGACTGAACATATGCTCCTGCATAGCTTCGTCTAGTCTGTTCTTTGAAGGATAATTTGAGGAAATGGAACTGAGACAAAATTCTACCCGACCTCTCAGCTGCGCACTCCACCGACGGATAGTCAGTATCCTTCAACACTTATTTCTTACACAATTACGAGACAGTACTATTTGAGAAAGTGTGTGCACAGCAGGTGTGAATACTACTTTAGATGCACAGTTAACATTTACATATAGTATTAAACTGTTCAAAGCCATAACCATTTTGGAGCCTCAACAAGAAGGTAGGGCCGAAGTCCTAGTTTAGCGCGCTGCATTCCTGCATTGGTAAGATGATTCGTGCCGTAACCCTGCTGTGTCACTGCTCTGCTGGCTCATCAGCCATCTCTTCAGCGATTTTTACTGTAGCCTATTATACAAATGTTTTCATCGAAGCCACGAAAACTGGTATAACAGGCATCTTCTACCATTACCACACACATAACCAACCGAAACTTGATTTATTTATTTAACACGTTGACTACGTATTGGTACATATGCGTACCACGAAATGTATTTCTCCTGGTCCATAATTCATGGTTGCCAGATGGCCTAAAAAACGGCCATTTAAGTCCGTGAACAAAAAGGCCAAAAAGGCCTATAACTCGATATGTACTAGTATATTTGTAGATTTCGGTGTAAAAATTCAATTTTTTTTTATTTAATTAGGAAGCGCCCCTTACAACCCCTATCATAAATTTTAGCCGACCACCTAAATTGAAAAAACTAAATCGCGGAATTTGTCCGGTAAAAAAAGAAAGTCTGGCAACCCTGTTCCATAATAGTACTAGAAAAATGAAACAAAAGTACAAGATGAAGCAATCGTAGTCAACGTGTTAAGCACAAATTCCAGTGGCACTTGCAACGACTGCTGTCACAATCGAGTTCAAAGGTCATTGACACCATTTCGCGGAATGAATATGTATACGTTTGATCAATAACGGAGAAGAAAACAACTAAAAAGGTGAACTTCAAGTTACTAATAAAAATTAAATTTGAAGAAAGTTTCTGCGCAGTGGTACCGGCGCCGCGTTCTACATGTCTAACACAACAAATTCAAATTTATTTGAGAGACGATGAAAATCTGTTGATCATGCCAGCTGACACTTATCAAGACAATAAACCCTCTTCCGTCAAGAAAATTTGAGTTTTGTTATACGGAAAAAAATTCTTCTTAAAAGAACAAAATAAACTCGGAAGTACATTCAGGGTAAAAAAATAACCGTTGAAGTTGATGAATGATTTCAAATGTTCATTAGTTGGAAATAACTTCGAGACGCCGAGCAGGGTACGACTTCATGCAAGCATATTTTAGGTTGAAAAGCCTGAGAGTTATGAGACTTATTGAACTATGGGCCTATTTCTTCAAACAATTGAAACAGGCCATGGGCCTATTTCTTCAATGCCGACACTTCTATTCTATTCTAAATGTAATACCCCCACTGCACAGTAAGCATTATCTTTTACTTTTGCCCCCATCCTTCCATCCCCTTTGATCCCCGACCTTTTGTAGAGCAGAGGCGGCACACTTCCTCTCTCACGCTCCGGCTTCCCAGAAATGTTCTGAATCAACGCAGATCAACCTGCGCCATTTCAGAGAATCGATTCCGCTTCTTATTTTAAGATTTCAGTTCCATCGCAGTTAAGCTATGCTGCCTCGACCTGCGTAGAGACCTGCTTTGTATTGAGTAAAATAATGCTAGTTACTGAGTGAAATTATTTTAGTTGTTGAGGAAAATTATGATAGTTACTGACAAAAATTATGATGGTTATTGAGTTGAAATAATGTTAAACTGCATGGTAAAATGTTCTACACGGCAATCGTATGAACAAAAATATAAATGCATTTCATCATTGCATTTTCAGCCGTAATTATGTCACATTCATGAGACATTTTCCAGTACAGCTGTTTGTCAACTATTTGATACGTCAACTCGAAAATACTTAGAATTTATGTTTACAATTTCCAACAAACATGGAATGGGGAACGGGTGGCGCACATCTCAACGTGAATCGTTGTACGAATATCCGCGTCATAAATTAAGAGAAAAATTTTGCATTCGAATATGTCACTGTAGTTACTAATTCAACATGAGCCCACTTCCCGTTACTGGAATGAATACTTAGAATGTTGGTATCGACATTTGTTTCAAAATTTCAGAAGGACAGATGACGGTTTAAACTTTCGATAAGCCTAAGAATTAAATAACGGGAAACGGAAATAATTTTTACGTTATATTGGAAAGACGGTTACGTCTTAGTTACTAGTTGAGTTCAATTTGAACGCAACCAAATTGCTTGTTCTACAAATAATGATATTGAAGGCCAGGTTCCGTTTTCATTAAAACCATTCAGAGGAAATGTCTGGGAAAGAATAATTTTTCTTAGAATATAAAGTTCTTCTTAGTAATTTTTCTTAAAATAGAATAAATTCTTCGTAATCTAAAACTTTGACAACAACCTGCGCGTTCATTATGCAAAAGCAGTTAAGCAGAAGCCTTTCCTGGAATCTGATGCTCTGCTAAAAGGAAGATAATTATTGCTCTGGGCTAAATAAATCACGTTTGTTTGCAGTTTATTAGACTAATTGATGAGGTATGAAGAAATCGCTGACGCCCGCAGTGTCGACTTTGGAGGCTTGTTTTGCTGGTCTCTAACGACCGTGTTGTTCTGACGTGGCCACAACTGTATATCTTATAGACTTTCCCTCAATTTTATTCTCTGCTTCTGAATGCATCAGGCATATAAGGTGGCTCAGTTGGCTTGGGTGCTTCATATATTCATCAAGAAATGACGGGCAAATTAAGGTCGCCGAGAACTATATGAACTATGAAGAACTATGAATGATCGGCATCGATCATTCATAGTTCATCTATGATTGCCGGTGTAGGGATTGTGCTGAAGGCCGTACTGAATAGTAATTACGTGCTGCTTGTATGTGTTGTTTGCTAATTATGGGCTACTGTTATGTGCTTCGTGCTCATAACGTGCTACTGTTATGTGCTTCCTGCTCATTACGTGCTTCTTCCCCCGTGCTGCGTGCTCATTACGTTGCTCTCACCGTGCTTCTTGCTCATTACGTGCTTCTTCCACCGTGCTGCGTGCTCATTACGTGCTTTTCTTAGCGCGCTTCGTGATCATTACGTGCTCTCACCGTGCTTCTTGCTCATTACGTGCTTCTTCCACCGTGCTGCGTGCTCATTACGTGCTTTTCTTAGCGCGCTTCGTGATCATTCGGTGCTCTCACCGTGCTTCTTGCTCATTACGTGCTTCTTCCACCGTGCTGCGTGCTCATTACGTGCTTTTCTTAGCGCGCTTCGTGATCATTACGTATTTCTCTCACCGTGGTGCGTGATCATTACGTACTTTGCGCAACGGGCAGCGTAATAATTACGGGTTTTTCTAGCCTTGTTGCGTGCTCATTACGTGCTTCTCTCAACGTGCCTCGTGTTTACTACATGCATTGCTCACCGTGCTGCGTGCTCATTACGTGCTTGTCTCAAGGCCGGGATGCAGAGAGCAGTATACCCGCTTTTAATTGCAAGAGCGCGTGACCCTGCGGACCGCTTACTGCGCATAACTCAATTCAATAAATTTTCATCATTTCCGATATGTGTTTTCGAATGCATAAATCAACAAATTCGCTTCACTTGAATAAGTTGTGATAAAGTATTCAGATTGTAGCGACCGTTTTTACGGCTAATTTTGTATAATTAAGACACACAAAATCGCAAGGTTTCAACTTCATTGGACGAAATCGTTATATAATTCGGCTGATGAATAAAAAAATTCTATTGAGTACCAAAATAAGCAGTCGCGTAATATATATGTAGAATGGGGAGAAAATATATGTATGTGAGGAGAGGGAAGGCATGGAAGGAAAGTGAAAGGTAAGTAAAGAGGAGGACAATTTGAACGGATGTGGAAAAATATGATGGGGGATGGGGAAGTAAGGGTTAAGTATTAAATACCTTACAAGGTATTTAAGAGAACGGAGATTAAACTAAACTAATTTTGAATAAGAGGTTGATGTAAAGACTCGTGGAAGTAGTTTGAAAAGAGATATGAAAGAAAGGAGAGATAGAAGAGGATAAGAAGCGGAAAGAAATAGAGCGGGAGAATAAGAATGTACGAATCGGGAGGTACATAGTATGACAGGGACGACATATGAAGAATGAGGAAGAGTAAAGGAAAGAGTTGTGTGGCAAAGAAGTACATAGAATGGTAATGGACAAGTGGGCAGAGAGGGTGGCAGTGGGAGGTGAGGGTTGCAGTGGGAGGTGAGGGTGGCAGTGGGAGGTTAGGGTGGCAGTGGGAGGTGGGGGTGGCAGTGGGAGGTGAGGGTGAGGTGAGGGTGGCAGTGGGGGGTGAGGGTGGCAGTGGGAGGTGAGGCTGGCAGTGGGAGGTGAGGGTGGCAGTGGGAGGTGATTGTGGCAGTGGGAGGTGAGGGTGGCAGTGGGAGGTGAGGGTGGCAGTGGGGGGTGAGGGTGGCAGTGGGAGGTGAGGGTGGCAGTGGGTGCCTGAGTGCTGACGTCAAGCTACCGTATCGGGAAGACCTCCTCCTGGGTGCAGGTTCCTCACTGGGCCGAGCGGGACAAAAATACGGCGAGCGAAAAAAATTGATTCTGATGAATGGCGCGTCGGAATATTCTTGGCTTGCAATTCATTGATGTTTGAGACTAGATGAATTTTTTGAGAATGAAACATGAAGAGTAACTATTTGGTTTATGTAGTAAATTCAGAAGTGGG